TGTTGTCTCTAGTGATCACAACTGACATATTCATGTTGGGAAAGAATTTGCAAGAATTTTCCGTGCACGATTCCATTGAGGAAAAAGGCTTCGAGATTGTTGCATGGTGCCATTATAAGTCGTAGTAATACTTGAACCAACACAAACGCCCACATATACATTGTTTAGGTCCGTATGTCACCTGTCACCTGTACGGAACAATATTATGTAGATTTACAACCATGGCAACACGACAGCTTGCAACAATTTATCATCAAAGAAAACACACTGGCCAAGGATTTGTCCGCACAGTGACATGGCAACCTGCGACGTGCACAAAACGCCAAGGGGACTTTGACTTGAACCTTTTTTATTATTGACACCAGTTTAGCTCCGCACGCTACCGCGTGCATGACACGGAAGGCTTCGGTGAAACTGGACAGCCGGTGGAGCTTTAGGTTTCACCGCTAACAATAAGTTGCTTCGTTGAATGCGTTGGCTGACCGTTGCATAGGCTGCCCATCTTAGCTGAAGCTCACTGTTGATAAGCCTAATGAAGTGCGAAGCTAAAGTGAATTTTTTAAACAACCACCATGCATATTACACATTCATGCATACTACACATTATTATCGTATTTTTCGAGCATCCAATTCATTTTTAGGAACTCTGGGGGTGTAGCGGTTGAAAGGTGTTTGATGTTGACGATACAACGCAAATGAAATGATATTGAAATGAAATGCGTTATCTGCAATCTGGTTTCAAGTGATCTCTATGTTCTACGCATATGGTTACTATCAGCTCTTATTTTGTCACTTTCATTCCCCAACCGCAGATTCTTCCATCCCACCCCCCCCCCCATCTGTACATCACTTCTTGGAACCAACGCCCCTGCTGCTGGGACGCGCGCTATGAATTTCGTGAAATTTGCGTTCTAGCGCCTCTTATCAGCTCTTATCAGCCCGTTATCACTTTCTGTACCCCACCAATATGTTCCCGTCCCACCCTGTACATCACTTCTTGGAACCAACGCCCCACTGCTGCTGGGACGCGCGCTATGAATTTCGTGAAATTTGCGTTTCAGCGCCTCTTATCAGCTCTTATCAGTCGTTATCACTTTGTGACCCCCACCAAATATGTTCCCGTCCCACCCCCTATATCATATCAAAAAATCAGCTCCTAACGACTGCTGCGACGCGTGCTATGAATTTCGTGACACACACACACACACACACACAGACAGACATAGCGCTTTATATATAGTAGGGATATTGACGACAGCCGTTATGCGCGCATTTCGGTTTTTTTAAACCTTTTTCTTTAAAAATCTTTACTCTTTCATTGATTCCTATACTGGCAACGAGTGTTCTCTTTTTCGAATCCGATAAAGCATGAGGATTGTTTTGAAAAATGAAAAAATCCAGATAAATAAAGAAAAACGAATTTTCTCCGCCTCGAAATGAGATGCGCAACCACGTCACGCCGTCATCGATGTTCTAAACAACCTATGTTCTCCTTTTCCTAATAAAAAAATACCATGGGTGTGGCAACGCACGGCGGCGCTACAACAGGAATGCAGGAAAGAAAGGATACCTATTCTGTTTGAGCCATTTATTTCATACCGATTCGTTTGTGCGAATAGAAGCTTCAAATAAGGTAATTTCTCCCAGTCACTGCATAACTGGACCTATGCTCTTACACGACTCCGATCCCAAAGCGAACCGACTGGGTGCATATGAGAGAAAGGATCAATCAGCACCGAGCTCTCTAGCTTTTGTTCTCTGAATAAATATTAGAGCAATGAGAATAAAAGAATTCTTGGACAATGCATAGCTCTTTCTGTTTTACCCTGTTGAGGTTTTGAGAAGAAAAAAAAGCAAAAGCTTCCAACATAGATCATTCCCTTCTGGGATGCGCCACAATTGCATTCAGAATAGTGGCCGCATTTCACGAGTTTAATTTCCAGGAGGATAGGGTCACTGTTAAACTAGTCAAAATGGATCACTTCCTGCTCTCCGGTTGCTACATACAGCACATCTCGCAGCCATTGACTAATGAGAAGCAAGCGATTCCTTCGATTCCTTCTTCTTGAACTTCTTGAGCTTCACACAAGTTAGTACAAGAATGCTGAGTTGTGGGCAAAACTTTCGCCCCAGCCGGGATTCGTACCCGGATCTCTTGCTTTCCGGGCAATTGTGCTACCAGTTACACCACCGGAGACACTAGTTCACCCAAAAATCACCCCGAAAGGGTAAATGGTGCCCGTGTAACTAGTAGCTGGATGGCCCGGGAAGCAAGTGATCCCGGGTGGGGCGAAAATTTTGCCAGCAACTCAGAATTTATTTGATAACTTTCGCAATGCAAACTGCGGACAGCAGTAATCCAATAAAAAAAGATTTATTTTCTGGCTATTTCGAAGATTTGATTTACAAAAGTTATTTCATCTGAAGCCATCAACAAGGGATAATCACTGGTATCATTCCTTGCAATAACACTATCATGGCGAAACGACAGCTTGTGGGTCGAGTTCGATTCAGTTGTTCTAGTGCAGCACTTTAAACATGGCCGCAGCGCTTGAGGTGAGCGGTTTGCCATCTTCTTTCAGCGCTTCCTAGCGTAAGTAAAGTGCTTCTACGTTATGGTGGTTCAAACAGATATCATTTTTGTTGTCCGAAAAGCTAATCTTCCAGGAGCAACAGCTGGATCGTGCTCTCGACCAAATTCGAGCACTGAATACAGAAGCTTTCTATGCACGATGATGCTCAAGTACAGGTCTCTTTTCTTAGTGAGGACGTGATCAAAATGCTAGTCGACACTTGAGAATTCGTAACTTGGCCACCTGGGACTTTTCGCCGCCACCCATGGATTCGCAACTCTATCATCACTGTTAGGCGGAGGTAGTTTAGTAGCAAGTGGCGCTGCTTACCACCTGCACTGAACGGAGGTCGAGATCTTGTATCGTGCCCCTTCTGAGCCAACCAAGCTTCTTTCCCTCCGGAGTGGTCCGAATGGTACAAGAGCGCTGGTGTCGTTGGGAAGGGCATCGTTGCGCAAACTGAGCCTGGAGGGGGGAGGAAATTCAGGGAGAATGAAATCTGCTCACATCCCCTCTTCTAGAACT